TATGTAAAACATGTTGTGTATATGTAAAACATGCCATCAACATAATAATGGTGAGAATTGATATAAAATGTCATTTTTTTCCAAGGAGCCCATTTATACTTATGATTCTGCCTGTCTTTAAGCTCATTATTATATCTTCTGAATAAAACTAAATAAAGTGATGCACATGGATGTTCTCAAGGTATATGATTCTACTGCAAAGCACATTAAACAGCTCTTCATCAACTATGGAGCATTTATTTATTTTTTTCTACCAAGCATTTATTAAGCTCTTACTAGGTGCCAAACACTGAGAATACAAAGAAAAACCAAAAAACCCTCCTCCTCAAGGAGTAGATTCTAATGGACTTATATCCTAATTAGCTTACATTCATTTCAATGTACCTTCTCCCCCAGCTCCCTCCCCCAAGGTCCTAGAGGGGTAGTCGGAATATTCCTTGCTATCCACTTTCACTTTCACACTCTCCCTTTACCTCCTTCACTCAGGAACCTTTCCTCTTCTGAGGAAATAAACATTTTCCACATGTTCGTAATCATGATGGCTATAGTATAAAAACTCCCAGGTTATTCTTCCTCCTTTCTCAAGGATCCTCTTGGCTTGAGGATCTTCTCTTCCCCAATTCCTATCTTTTTATTAGGGGACTTTATAGCCACATCAATATTCCCCCAAATTCCCTAACCTTCCAATTCTTCAGCCTCCATAAATTTCATGAGCTATTCCATCACTCCACCTTAGCCACACATATAGATGGTTACATATTAGACCTGGCCATAATCCACAAGGGTTCTACTTTCCTAATTAGTACCTGACATTCCCTTATCTGAACACAACCTCCTATCATTCCACCTTGGAGAGGCCTTCCCACTCTTAAACCTGTTTTTCATCCTCATCAAGACCTCCAAACCCTCCACTTCTCAATATTTTCTTAGTTAATCCTTGCTCTGGCTTCACTTTCCTTTCTCTTGAATCTCAACCCAATTCATTTCAAACTCTACATCATTCTCTGGTCTTGAATCCCTTGCCTTTTCTGTTTATCTCTTGCCAAATTTCAGCCATGGCTTACTCCCACCATTGGCTTCTGTGCCTATTCATAAGTAATTGAAGACAGCTGGCAGAAGTCTCAAAACTGTGTCTACTAGGTATATTACAAATTCATGTTATTCAACCTCAACTGTAGAAAGGAAGTCCTTTTATTCTCCCCTGATTGATTTCCTATCTCACTTCCCAGAGAAGCTATTCCAAACCTTCTCTTTCTTCCTCAAGCCTCATATACCTCCCTCTGGCCCCCCCTCTCTCAGCTCAGGACCTCACCACTTACTTTACTGAGAAAACTGAGGCTATTTAATATATCTTCCTTCTTCTCCCATTCTCTTCATTTCAAAACCCCTTGACATCATTTCTCACTCTCTCCTTCTTTTCCCCATCCTCTAATAGAGGTGGCCCTTCTCCCTGCTAAGGCAACCCTTATAAATATACTCTTGAGCTCATCCTTTCCTGTCTTCTCCAAAGGATTGTATCGTTGATCATCCTCCCCTTCTTTCTCTAATAATCAACCTCTTCCAATCTACATCCTCCTTTGCTTTGTGACCTTCAAACACTCCCATTTCCAACACCCTTAAAAAACATTCACTAGACTTGACCATCTCGTCAAGCTACCTCTTCTCTCTTTCTCAGACAAACCCCTAGAAAAAAAGTTACTTATACTTTGCTGCCTCTACTTCCTCTCCTCCCACTCAATCCTCAACTCTGCAATCTTGCTTCTGACCTTAGCACTCAAATGAATCTGCTTTCCAAAATTGCTAATGATCTCTTACTGGCCAAATCTGATGGTCTTTTCCTCAGTCCTCATCCTTCTTGACCTACCTACTGCATGTGACATTGGTGATCTTTCCCCACCCCACCCCCAATACTCTTTTCTCTCTGGGTTTTTGTGTTATTGCTCTTTCTTTGTTCTCCTATCTGTATGATTGCTTCTTCTCACTCTCTTTGGCTGGTTCCCCATTCATATTTTGACTCCTAATTGTGAGTATTCCCTAGGGTTCTATCCTAGGCCCTCTTCTGTCTCTACATTCTCTCTTGATAACTTTAGAGGCTCCTGGGGGTTTAACCATCATCTCTGTGCAGGTGATTCTCAGACATTATGTCCAAAGATGAATTCATTATTTTCTTCCCAAACCCTTGCCTCTTCCTAAGTTCCCTATTTCTGTCAAAGGCACCATTTTCCTCCCAGTCTCCCAGATTCATAACTATGGCATTATCCTGGACTCCTTATACTCCTTTACCTCACATATCCAACATGTCACACATCTGACCACTTCTCTCCACTTGCACAACTACCACCTTAGACCAGGCCCTTATCTTTTCTCTCCCAGATCATTACAACAGCCACCTTCTTGATCTTCTTACTTCTGATCTCTTCCCACTTCAGTCCAACCTATAAACCACTGTCAAAAACTTTCCTCCAGCACAGATCTGACTCTTCTACTCAACCCCAGTAGCTTCTGATTGTCTTTAGAATAAAATGCAAATTTCTTTATGGAATTTATGAAGTTTGACCCAATCTGCCCCAGTTTACTCTTCCAACCTCATTGGCTATTATCCCCCCTCCCACACTCTGCAATCCAGCCAAATTATTCTTCTCTCTGTTCCTCACACACGGGAAACTCTATCCCTCCCATCTTTGTGCACTGGGTGTTCTCCATTCTTGAAACAAATTGCTTCTTTCCTCTCTTCCTTTAATATGTATTTGAACCTCACGGCAATCCCATGAGGAAATTATTACAGGTATTATTATCTCTAGTTTACAAATGAGGAAACTGAGACTCAGAGAGATTATGACTTGACCATCATCATACAACTAGTAAAATAAATCTGTCTCTGAAAGTAAATTCTTCCCAAGAATGAGCTCACAGAGATCCACACTTCCTCCCCTCTTACCTTCTACAAGTCAAATTAAGGAGCATTTCTTAAGTGCTCACTATGTTCCCAGCACTGTGCCTGTACCTGGGAATATAAACCCTGGGAGTACAAAAGCAAGCTAAAAGAAAGACAGTCCCCACCCTCACTGAACTTAAATTCTAATGGATGAAGACAACATAAAAAAAGGGAGCTGAAAAGGGTGTGTGTGTGTTTGTGTGTGTGTGTGTGTGTGTGTGTGTGTGTGTGTGTAAGGTGCCTGCTTGAAGGCATAATCAGCACGTCTGGAAAATGAAGGATGGCTGTTTGGGCTCTTCCTCACAATTCTGAGGAAGAAGGTAGTGGGAGTATGATGGCACCAGTGAGTGAAACAAATTGGATCTGTGTCCTTTCTCAAAATGGAGGTCCTCACACCCTCTCTCTTTCTCCCTGTCCCCAACTTCTGGAAAGACTGATTCAAGCAAGGGCCAGGCTCCTTATTCAGTCCTTCAACAGTCACTGAGTGTCTATTCTGTGAAGTCTTTGTCCAGCAGATTAATTAAGAGATGATTTGCTTAACAGAAGAATTGTTCACTTCACAAAAAGCCTCACTTAAATTGCTGCTCCCCAGAGCATTTCATATTAGGTTCAGATTTTTAAAATCCTTTTAGGTACAACAACTGCCCTTTTTTTTTCATCTTTGTATCTCCAGCATTAAGCAAAACACACGGCCAGACCAGTAAGCTTTTAATAAGTGTTTGTTGAAGCATGTGAACAGGGAGATTTGGTAAGTCCGGGGGCCCGGCCCCTGAGCATCTTCTTCACTCTTCATTTTGTCTAGTCCCTGGGAAGTGGGTGGGGCATCACAAGAGAGAAAAAGAGGCTCTTGCTACAAGGCCTAGCCTTTTAGAAAAAGTAGCCCTGGCTTTGTCCTAACCTCTTACCCTCAGCCTCCCACTTACACTATCAAGACTTTTCTCTGAAAAGAATTTCTCTGAGTGAGGGAGGCACAAAATGATACACACTCAGTGTAAAAGAAAGAAAGAGGAGGGAGGAGAAAAGAGGACAGGAAGGAGGGAGGGAGGGAGGGAGGGAGAGAGAGAGAGAGAGAGAGAGAGAGAGAGAGAGAGAGAGAGAGAGAGAGAGAGAGAGAGAGAGAGAGAGTTCTATGGTACTCAAATAGTATTTGAAAGACTGTCATTATTTGGAAGAGGGATCAGCTTGTTTGGCTTGGCCCCAGAAGCTAGAACGGGAAGTATTAATGCGAAAAGCAAACTTTCTCATAATGAGAACTGTCCCAAAGTGAAATGGGATGGAGATGGTGTGGGGGAGGCTCTCCAACAGTGGAGGTCATCAAGCAAAGATAACCACGTGTTGGGTCTGTTGTAGAGGGGATTTTTCTTCAGGGATAGGTTAGACTAGATGACCTTTCAGGTTCTTTTCAACTCTGAGATTATTATTCCCAGACAAAGAGACAAGAGAAGAACAAAGACAGATGGGAGAGAGACTGAGAGAAAGTGAGCCAGCGACCAGAAGCAATAATTAAGGGAAGAAGTAATTAAAGATGGAAAGACGCAGGTTTAATAAATAACTTTTGAATGAGTGAAGGTGTTTCTGTGAACAGAGGTGGCAAGTCTAAATGGTTAAGCTGATTCGAATGATAGCATTACTTGGAGAAAGGGAGGGGGAAGATTGGGCCATGAATAGTAAAGAAACAGTAGAAGAGGAATAGAAAGACATAGAGGGAAATGCAGAGTCAAAGAGAAGGTTGAAAAATGAGAGCGTGAAATGACAGATGAGACAGAGGCCCTCCGACCCAAGGTAAGAGAAAGATTCAGACCACTATGATTATCACCCTCTGGGGATTACTCAGAGGATACAAATATTTCCAGAATCTGCTTCCCCACCCCCCACTCCCCACCCCTCCCAAGCACCAAGCCCAAGCACAGGAATAGTAGGGTGCCTTTAAAAGCCCCGCCCCGTACTGTTCTCTCCTCCTCCCCCTCTCCCCATCTCCTACTCTTTTCCTCCCCCTGCCCCCAGATCAGGCGTTCCCAGGCCCCTCCCCTTGCCCCCCACCCCCCTGACGTCAGGAGCTGTCCGCGGCCCCCGGTGCTGAAACAAAATGGCTGGTGACGGTGGAGGCAGGGACCCGGCGTGAGCGGAGAGCCGAGCCCAGGGAGCTCGGGAGCCAGGGAGCCAGCGAGCAGGGAGAACCAGCGAACAGGCCGGGTAGGGCTGGGCTGGGATGCCACAGCCCCGCGGGAGGGCGTCGGCGCATAGGCAGCCTCCCTGCTGAGCTCCGGGTCCCCCCCACCTCCGCCCCCAGCCCCGGGCCCGGCCCCCAGGACCATGTCTCTGCTCTGCGTTGGAGGTGAGCTGAACCGGTGTAGGGATGCAGACCCACACTCTCCATCCCCTGTCTCCTCCTCGCTTCTGGGGTTCTCAAGCTCTGGGGTTGGGGTGTGGAAAGGGTGGGACTGGGTGGGGGAGAAACGCTGGGGTCACCAAGGCGCCCCATCTCATCGCCTGCAGGCTGCTCACCCGGGTTCACACTCCTGGGGGTGAAGGTTGAGCAAGACCTGGGTAGGAAGGGATGTGAGGGTCCTTAGCGCTGCCTTTTCCTTCCTCCTCCGGACTTCCCGCCAGGGTTCGTATGCCCGGGGTGGATAGGGGTGGGGGATGGGGAAGCAGGGATCTGGGGAGGAGAGTGCCGAGATTAGATTGCCCCGCTTCTACACCTACCCACCTGAGGTTTATCCCTGTCCCATATTCTCTCTGGATAGGGCAGGGTTCTCGGCCTGGGAAGGGGTCTACTCCCGCTCCTACCCCCACCCCACCTAGTGTAACTCTCTATTCTGCGTTTGGAGATTCTCCAGCATTGGGTTCTCTCCATTTCTCGTCCCTGTTACAAATTTAGGGCTCCCCCCCCGCCAGGGGTGGTTGTGTGTGTTTGTGGAGGAGAGCTATTTTTACTCTTTCTGTGAGCTGCCCACGCTCCGCTCCCTCTCCGGAAGCTGGGCCTGGGGGTGGGACTGGGTGTGTATTGGGGGCTGGAGATGGGGTGGGGCAGAAGACTGCCCTGGGGAGGGCAAAAAGGATTTTCGTGCCAGGGGCCCCAATGCTGGGGAAACTGTGAGCTCTCAGGGGCCCAGGCGCAGGAGCAGCCAATGGGGCTCAACACTCTCTAGGCACTTCTGCTTGAGGAGACTTTTGGAAGCAAAGAGTGGCCCTTCGAACCTCTATTCGGGCTTAAGCTTCAGAAGGCTGCCAGCTCCCCCTCCTCTTCTCCTCTGCAAGCGTGCCCCTCTCCCACTTCCGAAGCTTCATTCACAAACCCTCTCCCGCCGCGGGCACCGCCCCTCAGGGTGTCTCTCCCCCCATCCTTATGCAAATCGCCCCCCGACTGGCGTAGTTGGCACGCTTGCTTAAAGGGATAGGGGTACTTGGAAATCTGTCTCTTTCGCCTGTAAGGTTCGTGGGTGGGGTATGAGGAAAGGGAAGAAAGTCTCAAGCAGTCAGAGGTCCTGGAGTCCAGGGCCCTGCTTCCTAGAAGATTGGGGGATGAGGGTAACCAGGGAAAGACTATTTGAAGTGGGATGAATCATACCCCATCTCTAATCCTAGCTCTAGTCTGAGAGTCAAAAGATCATTCTCACCCCCAAAATGGGGATGAGAATAAGGGGTATGTGTGTAGGGGGTGAGACCCAGAGCCTTCTGCTCTTGGAACCACCTTCCACACAGGAAGGCATAAAGGATTCTAGCTATTCCAGCTGGCACTGGGGTGGGGGTGGGGGTGTGGAGTGTGGGAAGAAGGAACTGGGAAGCTCTTGGTTACCCCTGGTCCATCTGGCCCCCACCCCTCCTCTCCCAATTTCCTCCTCTGAGAGCCCCTTCTCCTCTCTCAGGACTGTTTCCTCCACCCAAGAGGGGAGGGAAAAAAGGGAAAATGTGTCTGGAAGATTCCCCTGGGGGAAGAGAAGAGGGAAGGGGAGAAGGGGGAGGAATCTTACCACAAACTCTGACGCAAATGTTTGGGGAGTGGAGAAGGAGGGGCCAGGGCCCTGGGGTTCTAGTGGTGGAACCAGGAGACCAGGAGCCTTTGCTGCCACCCTAAATCAAGAAACACTATTACAGACCTTAGGTCCAGGATCTGAGGAAGGCTGGTACTAGGGCTAGTCAGGGAGCTCTGAGCTGTCCTGATTGGCATCAAAAACCCAATGCAGAGAACTCAGGAAGCCTTGGCCTCAGCCTGAGGATCTTCCCACACCACCACACCAGCACTGGAGCTCAGCCTGGAGGAAGGGCTATTCACCGGGAAAGAACCCAGCTCTGGGCATTTACAATTTGTATTTAAAATTGTTGTCCCTGGGTAAAGCTGGGCCAGCATCACCTCTACCCAGATAAACACACATCCAGAAGCATACAAACATATGTGTACATGCATGTGTATGCAACACACAACACAAACATATGGTCACATTTATATACATGTACATATATGTGCAGATATTTTGTTACCTAGAGGCACATGTGTACTCAAAGGGACACATGTACAAAGATGCATACATACATACATGCATGCATGCATGCATGCGTACATACGCTAAATCATATTGTGGTATACCAGAAAGAGCACTGGGTTTCAATCCCAACTCACTTACTGGCTGTGTGTCCATGGGCAACTCATTTTACCACTCCAAAGCTAAGTTTCCTCATCTGTAAAATGAGGGCAATATTTGTGCCTTCTACTTCATATAATTGTTGTGATAAAAGTGCCTTGTAAACTTTAAGGCCCTGTAAAATGAGTAATTACACACACACCCCAACCATCCATGCAAAGAATACAAACATAAATATACATATATACATATATACACATATATAAAAGCATGCTTACATAGACAGAAGCATAAGTACATGTAGGCATATACTTATGTCTTACTTAATTTCTTGTAGTTTCAGTTTCCTTATCTACAAAATGGAAATAATACTTACAACTATATATTTAAATGGGATAATATATGTTAAATGCTTTGTATATGACTTAAATGTCATATACACTTATTATGGTTTTCAAAGATTTCCCCATTCTGGTCACTCTTCTCTAGGGGAGCCAATATCAGTTCTCAAATGTGATACCCAGAACTGAACTGAAGTCAGATGGGGATCTAACCTAAGTAAAGCTGAACTATATGACCTTTCTCATTTGCTCTACTCAGCTCTCAGACTTATTAGCTCAGACTCAGTGGGGCTGGAACATACCTCATTTGCTTCCTCATCTACATTTCCACCCTCCCCCTACATGGCCAGGCCTCTGGAAGGTATTCCAGTCCATTGAGCAGTTTCCACTCCCACTGGGACCCCAGAGACTCTTTAATTAGAATGCTCTTTTCTCGGAAGCCCTCAGAAGGAAGTGGGGAAATCAGTCTGACACAGAAGTTCCAACCTCATAGAATATTAGGGCTGGAAAGGCCCTTAGAGAGCATTTGCTCCAAATATTTAATTTTTACGGATAAAGAAACTGAGGCCTGAAAAAGAGGAACTGACTTGTGCAAGATCTTGCTCCAAACAAAGGGCATTATTGTGAGTTCCTGGCAGGAAGGAAGATGTGTCCATTCTCCATGCAAAGTCTTCCCAGAGAAAGTAGGATTTTGGTCAGATTTTGAAAGCTGGGTAAAGAGAATGAAGGAAGTCATGAATCAGTTATCCCCTACCTAAGTCTTACTGATGTAGACTTCAGTTCTGTTATGGGTACCACATTTTAAGAGGAACATTGTTCCTCCAGAGGAAGATGACCACATGCTAGAAGTTTTTGAAATTGAAACCATGTCAGACAATTTACAAAAACACGTAATCATCTCCATCTTACAGATCAGGACTCTGAATAAGAGAGAAATTAAGTGACTTGCCCAGTGTCACACAGCTCACAATATTCAGCAGCTGGATTCTCTTGAGGTTTCACCTCTTGCCTATTTACCACTACACCACACTGCTTCTCCTGACATGTAAGACTCAGATGAAGGAGCTAGAGATGTTTAACCCAGGGAAAAGCCAACTTAGAGGGGCAATGAGAGATGTCTTTAAGTATCTTCAGGGCTGTCGTGTGGGAGAAGGGATTGAACATACTTTGCCTGGTCCCAGAAAGCAGAACTGTGAACAGCTGGAGAGGACTAGAGTTAGTAATAGGGAGGCAGATTTTATCTCAGTAAGAACTGCTTCCTGATATTAGAGCTGCCCCTCAATGAATCAGCCTGTCTCAAGTAGTCACAGTTTCCAAATGGAGATATTCTATAGGTAGAACAGTGACTTCTTGCTACCTCTAGAAGCAACTACAGATGCTTTGGTTTGGCACTTAAAACCCTTCACTCTTCTCCCCTATCACTATCATTCCCTTTCTTGAACTATGCATTTCAGTCAGACTGACTTTCTGGGTATTCCTCACACATTACCAGTCATTTCTCATCTCCATGCCTTTGCGCTGGCTTTCCCCCATACCTGGAATACACTCCCTCCTCAACTCTTGGAATCTCTTAGCCTTCAAAAGTCAGCTCAAATTCTTCTTTACAACATAATTAATTTGAAAACATATTTAATAGAATGTATAATGTACAGCCTATATCAAATTGCACTCCATCTTGGGGAGGGAGGGGGAGAAAATTTAAAACTCAAAAGCTTATGGAAGTGATTGTTGAAAACTAAAAATAAATTAATTTTAAAAACTCAGCTCAAATACCACTTTCTGCATGAATCCTTTCTCAATCCTCCCAGCTGTTAGTACTCTTCCCCCTCTACATCACCTTGCATTTATTTATTTATTTATTTATTCATTTACTCATTCATTCATTCATTCATTCATTTAATGTGTATGTATATATATAATAAACATATAATATATATGTACATGCACACACATATATACACATATATTCTAATTATGTACATACATGTTTCTCCTGATAGAATGTAAGCTCCTTGAGGACAAGGACTATTTTATTTTTGTCCCTGTATACTCAGTGCCTAACATATAGTAGGTGTTTAATGAATACTTGTTGAATGAATGATGTTGTAGAGGGGTCTTATTCTAAAGTACCTTCCAGCTCTAGGATTTTGAAAAGAGAAAAGTCAGTTTCTTAATCTTATAATCTACCAGACCCCTGTGTAACAATCACAACAATCCTCTTTTGCTAAGCCACCTTTGTCTTCAAAACAGTCAGTTATTTTCCTCTGTTGGGTTCATGTTTTATAGAGCTGGAGGCATCCATCCCTTCCTCTTATAAACATGCTCTGGTCATCTGAAAGGGCAAAGAAGCCTTTATATCAACTCTCCACTTGCAAAGTCTCCAGGCTTCCTTATTCTCTAACAAACTCTCT